AGAGTCCAATACTTGTAATTATTTTTTTAAATATTTTAAAAGAAACTATTGGATTATTTATTCCCTTATGCTTACAAAATAAGTGGTTTCAGTGGGGGTTTCTTTAAATAAAAATTGTTTTAAATCTGAATATCTTGAGCAGCCTGTAACACTAACATTACAGCTTCTGCCCTAAACCAAAAAGGGAAATCAGTTAATGAGCTTTTCAACCAAAAACTCTATTAAGACTTGGTGATCCAAAGAGAGAAATGCACATCAGTTCCCTTTTTCGAATTATTTTAGAAGATGGTAGTTTTCCTTCTCTACAGTATTAACATTCTGAGTAGTTGCGCATGACCATACAATGAGGAGGCAGCAGGAAGCTGCCACTCTCCAGGCAATTTTTTGGTTGCTTTAGGGAACAACCATCTCCTGGGCAGACACATGTTGAATGTGACAAGCTGTGGCTGAGACTCACATCCCTACCCGGGTAATGCAGGAGGTGGTAGAGAAGAGACCCCAAACAGGGTCCCTGTTCAGAGGCAGGTGATGATGCAACACATTTCAAGGGCTTGAACACAGCAAACTCTGCGTGAGCTCCCACCGGCACAGAGCAGCACCTGACTGTCCTCCCCATGAAGGTGCCTCTCTTTGCTACAGAAAGGGTGGAAGCCCAGCATCACTCTCTCCTCCAGGGTAGGCTGCGTTCCTACGCACACAAGGAAGATGCTGGCAGAGCTGCTGTCCAGCCACCGCACGTCACAGCTTGTACCTTCAGAGGAGTCAAAGAGTGCCAAGGAAAAGGAGCCTGAGAACCACACACCAAAACCACCTTGTCTACTTACTAAATCTTTGTTTACTCAAGACAAATACCAAAGTGAAACATTTTTAAAAAGCGTATTTCATAATTCAAATTAATACTACTGAAAGTTAGCATAGAAATACGTGTTTAGAAATACCAGTACCCTGTTCTCCCTTTTGGCGTTATGAAGCTATGATGTTTGTTTTAACCTCAAGGAAACTGATCAAATAGCTAAATCATTGCTAGCTTGATTTCCTGGTGCCATATAAGCACTAACACAGATGTATACACAGCAATCAGATTTGCAGCACAGGCAACTATTATAAAAACAGCTAACCTAAGAGAAAAGCTGGGATAAGTTTCTTTCACAAATATCATTCCACCACTGACATAAGATCTTCAGTGGCCTTGGGAACGTCACTTAACTTTTCTGTCTCCAGTCTGGCCAGATAGCTGAAAAAACAAGCATCCTGTACTTTTAAAGGACTGCTGTGAAAAATACTTAAAGAGCCATGTGCAAACAAATTACTACTTAGCAATATCCTTTGCTCAGAGAGATTGTTTTTAAATGCTGAACAATTGCACAGAAAAGAGTTTAAGTGCCTGCATAATCTGACGTGCTCCAGTGCAGCCATTCATACACAGCCATACTTTACAGGATCAAGTAAGTCTTAGACAACTTCACAGACAAGCCCCAAACTCTTTGGGAGAACAGGCTGCCTGCCGACGGCTCTCAGGAACTTGTAGACAATTTGAGAGCCACATGGTGCTGGGGAATCAGGCAACACATAGGCTGTGGTGCAGGTTTCAAAGAACGTAAGTGAACACAAATAACAAGTTTCCAAGCTTTGCTGTTTAACAGGACTGCAGAGATCAGCTAAAATACTTACCACAGTGTAAGAGCCCACCAAAAGCCCAGTTTGAGTATTAATGCTTGACACAGAGCGTTTAATATGCTAGCTTAGCAGTTGCTTCTCTTCCTTTTATGTTTTTTGCAAGAACCTTGTGAAAATAAGAAAATGTACTATGTTTTGTCCCATCACAGGTTAAAACATTATATATGCAGCTAATTTGCCTGTAAGTTCTCCTAAAATTGTGTTAATATAACTAACAAATGACAATGTTATTGACATTCCAGTTCTTTGTTAAAATACGTTGTGAAAGTATATGTAATATCACAATGGAAACATTACATTCTATGAGCAATTCAAACTTGCATTTAGACATGGCAGATACTATACAGATTTTATGACAGAAATAAAAATAAAACAGTTTTACCATTAGTAAAAAATATCTGTAGTTTCCAATATTCTTCTTCAGTCAAAAATTTCAAGTCTTTCTGGCGTTCCTTCAATAGATCTTGTTTATCCAAAATCCATTGTAAACTAGAGGAAGGAAAAATTATTTCAGCAACTCTTTGTCAACATCATATCGAGTGACTCCTGTACAGATTACAGATTGCAGGTCGGGGCTAGAGACCTTTAACCAAACCACACACAATCTTCTCAAGCAAATGTTCACAAAGGTTTTCAAAGTTAAACATCTGAAAACACACTAAATACCAGGGACCAAGATTAGCCTTTACCTATAGTAAACTAAACTGGCTGTATAGCTCTTACGCACTGTCAGTTACTGGCAAGGTTTACTGTGAGGGTGGTGAGGCACTGGCACAGGTTGCCCAGAGAAGCTGTGGATGCCCCATCCCTGGAAGTGTTCAAGGCCAGGTTGGATGGGGCTTTGGGCAACCTGGTCTAGTGGAGGGTGTCCCTGCCCGCGGCAGGGGGGTTGGAACTAGATGATCTTTGAGGTCCCTTCCAACCCAAACCATTCTATGAGTCTATGATATTTAGTACATCACAAGCACACATTTAAACCTGGATGCGCTCAGCACGGGGTATTTTAAGGCAGCTCAGCCTTGGCTGCCCCTCCGCTGGGGATGAACATACGGCACCCCGGGGATGCAACCGCCCCCACCCGATCGCTCGAGACCAAGGCAGCGCGGGCCCGGGCACCGCCACGCGACTCCTCTCCCGGGGAGCCCACACACTTTGAAAGCCCCGGCGCAGG